GTCTGCTTATGGGGAAAAAACCAGCAAAGAGCAAAATAAAAAATACCCACGCAGCTCTGCCCGGCCCTCTTCCGCGCCCCACGCAGTCTCAGCGCCCTGCAGGTGCTGGCCCCTGGCCTGGCACTGTGCCCGCAGGCCAGAAACAGTCGCTGAGGCCTGTGGCTCGCGTTTAGCTTAGCAGACCTGCTGCGGGGCGCTCCTCTCCGCACAGCTGCTCCGGTCCTCCAGGGCCAAGGCGTTTTCCGCTTTTCACTGCTGCATACTATGGTGTGTGTGTGTGTGTGTGTCTTTTTTGCGGTACCGGGGATCGAACTGAGGAACTGGCACTTGCCAGGCAGGCGCTTATGCCACTGAGCTGTATCCCCAGCCGCGCTACATACTGTGTAAAATCAATGCAGTATCCTTAGTTATCTTCTCATTGACCATACTGAGGAGCTTTTTTTTTTTTTTTGGACTGGGGATTGAACCCAGGATCTTCACACGGATCTGCATCCCTTGTCCTTTTTATTTTTTATTCTGAGGCAAAGTTTCACTGAAATGCTAAGGTTGGGTTCGAAGTTGTGAACTTCCTGCCTCAGCCTCTCAGAACATTGGGATTACAGGCCTGCGTCACCATGCCTAGTTAGGGTGGATTTTTGAACATAATAGATGTCAGATTTTATTTTCTGGCGTTTTCCCTCTCAAACTGTGCACACCTCAGGCTGGGTGTGGTGGCGCACATCTGTAATCTCAGCACTCGGAGGCTGAGGCAGGAGGATTGTTGTGAGTTCGAGAGCAGCTTGGGCTACAAAGTGAGCTCAAGGCCAGCCTGTACCGCATAGCAAGACCCTGTCTCAAAAAGACAAAAAAGCAAACCTGTGCCCACTTTCTCGGAGAGCTCATGCATCTATCTTCCGTAAACGCAGTGCACCCGCCCTAGCAGCACTAGGTGATTGCCTGCTTGGTGGCATCTTACAGCCACCGATAGTGGTGGGTTTTGTAAATGGTGCCTCCTTTGCCACCTTGTCCCGGCCACAGGAGCTGGAAGGCAGTGTTGAGCAGCAGGGGCTGGTGCCAGGCATGCGCTGCCAGGTCCCTGTGGGGTCATTAGGGTCATTCACTGACTGGCTGTGGAAGGAGGTGGCCTTTCCTCTTTCCCCTCTGGTGGGGACCAGGGCAAGGAGGAGAGGCCGCTCGGGCTAATGGCTCATTTTTTGTGCTGCCTGGTGGGGGTCCGGTTCAGCGATTGGGAACAGAGAGGACCCTTGGAGGCCAGGGAGAGAGCCTGGGCTCCCCAAGGCATGCGGACCCGGCACACAGCCTCTGTGCAGAGGACGAGCCACTCCTGGCCACCTCCTGCTTTGTCTGCCCCCTTCTCACTGTTGTGCCAGCCTTGAAGAGGGCACGATGGGAGCAGTCTCAGCCCCGAGTGACCTGGGTGGCTTCCCCGCCCGGCACACAGGGTCACGCTAGTGCGGGGCACGCGGTCCTGTCGCGCTCTGTGCGTGGGGCTCTGTCCACCGCCCTCCCTCCGGGGCCGGCGTGAGGATGTGGCCTCTGTCCCTGGAGAGGGAGCCTGTGGCCCGGGCTGGAGGAGCTGGGTCAGGGGTGGTGGAGCGCAGTCCTCTCTTGGAACTGAGCTGGTCCTCGCTGCCCTTCAGCCTGTCGTCCGCTCCCGTGTCACCGCACAGGCCCCTGCTGACCTCCCTTCTGTCTTTCCTAGAGACAAGAGGAGCAGCAGCGACACCGCCCGTCACCCTGGAGGGTCCTGTACAATCTCATCATGGGACTCCTGCCCTTACCCAGGGGCCACGGAGCCCCCGAGATGGAGCCCAATTAGGTGCCTGCATCCGCCCGGTCGGATGTTGGGGACCTGGGGGGCAGGACCCTCCCGCCTCCTGACGCCTTGGCCAGCGCGGGGGACTCTTCTCTGCACCATGTAGCGTACTGGACTACCAGCCCTGCCTGGCCCAGGGCGGCCCAGGGCAGCCGCTCCAGCCTGGCCCCGCGTGGGTGCCCCAATGGACATGTGGACTCCCGGGGCCCCGGCGTGAAGCCGGGGAAGGAGGGCTGAGGACTCAGCATCCGAAGGCGGTGACGAGGGGGTGGGGACTGAGCCGCCCGCCTCGGCGCCCACCACCATCTCAGGAAAGGCTGCTGGTGCTGGCTGCCCGTTCCAGCTGCAGGGGGGGCGCTGGGGGTGTGTGCCCAGTGCTCCTTCACTTTGGGCCTGACCTCGGGCCCCTGGTGCTTCCCCCCCTCCTCCTGGGGAGGGGGCCCGTGAAGAGCAAATGAGCCAAACGTGACCACTGGCCTCCTGGAGCCAGAGAGGGGGCGCTGACGGCCCCCCACGCCGGTGCCCAGCCTTGCCCGAGCCGGCCGGCGGGTGGTGGGCGCGCCTGCCTCACCTTCATCTGGGGGTGGCCAGGAGGGGCCCAGACTGTGAACCCTGTGCTCTGCCTGTGACCACGCCCCGACCCCATCGTCTCATCGCATAGGTTTAGAGAGAGCACGTGTGACCACTGGCATTCATTTGGGGGGTGGGAGATTTGGCAGAAGCTGCCCCAGCCTTAGTCCCCAGGGCGAAGCGCTGGGGGGAAGACGGGGTGTCAGGGAGGGGGGGATCTCAGCGGAGGGAGGAGTCTGGGAGCGGGGAGGGGTGGCCCAGCCTGTAAAATACTGTACATGCGCTGCTGTAGATACCGGAATGAATTTTCTGTACATGTTTGGTTAATTTTTTTTGTACATGATTTTTGTATGTTTCCTTTTCAATAAAATCAGATTGGAACAGTGGATGCCTTTTCTGCTCGCCTTCCCCGTTCTGTGCTCCGGGACCCACCTGGGAGGTGGGAGAGGGGACCGTCCGGGCTCAGGGACCTCAGCAGGGCGGGCAGCTGGCGGTGCCAACCCTCTTGCCGCCTTGCGCAGCAGACAGGTGCTCAGTGCCTGGTCCTCCTCTATCCCACTGGATCCAGGGCGTCGTGGGGGCCTGGCATCTGTGAAGGGCTGGATGGCCTGTGACTCGCTCAAGCACCCAGGACACCCTGGCTGCCCTCACAGAGGTGGGGGTGCCGGAGCCCGCTGGCTGAAGGTGCACCTGCAGCCAGATCAGAGTAGGGCTTCGCCTCACAGCTGCCAGGAGCAGCTGGTGGTGAATTCAGGTTACAAATGGGAGCTGAACGCTGTCCTTGAGCCCTCTTCCATGCTGGACCGGCACAGACCCAAGAGGACAGGGCACGTGACTCGTGAGGACAGAGGTCCTGAACCCTGCTCGGCTGGGTTTGGTTTTGTTTTGCTTTGTTTTGAGATAGGCTCTCACTATGTAGCCCGGGCTGGCCTTGAACTCACAGCAGTCCTCCTGCCTCAGCCTCCCCAGTGTTGGGATTATAGGCGTGGGCCACCACAGCCTGCTTGGCTGCTTTCTGGATGTGCATCTATGGCGGACCTCGGGAGGTGGCCCTGCCCCTACCAGGCCAGGCACACACAGGAGTCTGACAGCACTGAGCAGGACACCTGTGCCCGTGGCAGCGGCTGCCCTCCCGGGTACTCCCTTAGCAGAGGGTGGGCGTGCAGAAGAGGACGCGCTCAGTGTGCGGCCGCGCCCCTCGGTCCCAGTGTCACATTCAGCTACCCATGGTCAACCCCAGTCAGAAACTGTTAATGAGCTATTCCCAAATCATTCCTACATTTTAATCACATGTAGGAATTATTATACTTTCTGTTTCTTTTTAAGAGCATGAGAATTTATTGGGGAAAAAGGAACAGGAAATCGAAATAGCTCCTGAGAGACAGGAGTGGTCCCTAATGGGTTGCCTGCTTTTATTATTTTTGTTCGTTTTTATTTTTGTTTTGAGACAGGGTTTTGTTTTTTGTTGTTTTTGTTGTTGTTGTTGTTGTTGTTTGTCTTTTTGGGACAGGGTCTCGCTATGCAGTTCAGGCTGGCTTTGAGCTCACTTTGTAGCCCAGGCTGGTCTCGAACTTGCAACGATCCTCCTGTCTCAGCCTCCTGAGTGCTGGGATTACAGGCGTGCGCCACCACTCCCGGCATAAAACAGGGTTTTGTTATATAGTTCAGGCTGGCCTCAAATCATGGTGATATTCCCCTGCCTCAGCCTTCTGACTGCTGGGATTACAGGATTGCACCACCATGCCCAGCAAATTTAAATGAAATTCTAATGGAGTTGGTGCTATGGCACATGCTATAATCCAGCACCAAGGGAGGCTGAGGCAGGAGGATCAAAAGTCCTGCCAGGTCAACTTAATGACCTTGTGTCAAAAAAATAAAAACAAGGGACTGAAAACCCTAATGGAAACTTTTCATAGCTAAGAGAAGTAATACTGGGGCCAGGGATATGGCTCAATGGCGCACACCTGCCTAGCAAGTGAGAGGTGGTAAATTTGATTTCCAGAACCAAAAAAAAAAAAAAAAGAGAGAGAGAGAAGTAATACTAGGAGAGTCATGGAACTTCAGAATGGATTAAAGAGTGATGGAAATGGTAAATGGAGAAACTTTATTTTAAAAGAGAAGTCATTTGTTCCTCCTAATTTTTTTGCTTTTTTCTTTTTTGAGACAGGGTCTCACTACGTAGAGCAGGCTGGCCTTGAACTCACTATGTAAGCGAGGCTGGCCACCAACTCAGCAATGGGCCTGCATCAGCCTTCCCAGTTCTGGGATTATAACCACGTGCCACCACATCCAGCCTATTTTAAGTTTTTTTGAGATAGGTTCTCACTATGCAGTCCATGCTGGACCCGAACTCATGGCGATCCTTCTGCCTGTTTCCCGAGTGCACTGCCACACCCCATATATAATTTAATCCCAGCACTAGCGGGGCTGAGGAAGGAGGATCACTGTGAGTTCCAGGCCAGCCTTGGCTACAAAGAGAGTTCAAGGCCAGCCTGGTGTGCATAGTGAAACCCTGTTTCAAAAAGACAAAAACAAAAAAAAGTTGTTACATTGTCTTGTGGCAATATTGTTTCAGTTGTAATAGATGTAGCAGGGATTAGGGAGCAGACCTATACAATATAGAGGTGCCTATGTTGTACTTGAAAAGTGGTACAATATTAACTCTAGATTATAAATGCTAAGGATATATTTTTTTGTCTTGCTTCATTTTGGGTGGGATATATTTTTGTAATTTTTGACACACACACACACCCCGCCGCTTGTCTCAAAAAACCAAAAACCAGCTGGGCATGGTGGTGCACACCTGTAATTCCAGCACCTGGGAGGCTGAGGCAGGAGGATTGTTGGGAGTTTGAGACCAGCCTGGGCTACAAAGTGAGCTCAAGGCCAGCCTGAACTGCATAGTGAGACCCTGTCTCAAAAAGACCAAGGGGTGGGGGGAAACAAACCCAGAAACCAAAAACCAAAAACCAAAACCAAATAAAACTTGCAATCCCCCTGTCCCAGCTCCCCTAGTGCTCAGGCTAAAAAATTGTTTTCTTTTTGACACAGGGTTTTACTACATTGCCCATACTCGGTTTGAACTCTTGGTCCTCCTGCCTCAGCCTCAAGTGCTGGGGTGGGACAGTTGTGCCACAAGACTCGCAGCCTTAGACGGGGATAATTCCTATTAATCTATTCGCGGTTCACTGATTCTTTTCTTCCTTATCTCCATTCTGCCCCTAGATCCACTCAGTACACTTTTTACTTCACTCTATTTTTCAGTCTTTGGGCATCCATTTGTGTTTTTTTATTTTTTATATCACATTTTCCTGATTCCATGTATATCAGCTAATTTTTTTTTTTCCCAGTACCGGGAATCGAACTCACGACCTTGGGCTTGCCAGGCAGGCGCTGTACCGCTGCGCTAAATCCCCAGCCCCTACCAGCTAATTTTGCTTATGTCCTGGATGTTACGAATGTTGTGTTAGGGACAGTCTGGATTCTGTTATATTCCTGCAAGGCGCACTGATACGCTTGTGAGCAGAAACTGCAGAGCCCCGTGGGGGTGACAGCCACATCCCACCCGCTTCGGCCCGCTCTGAGCCTCCTCACAGGCTCACATCCGAGGGCTGCGCGATCGCAGAACCGGGCGCCCCTCCCCTGGGCCACGCCCCCATCCCGGCTTGCAGCAGCTGTGGGCACTCTGGGCTCATCCTCCCCTTCTTCATGTCAGTGAGACAGTGGTTTCTGAGCTTTCCTTCCTCAGGATAAAGCTGTAGGAAAAACAAACAAAACCCAACTCATCCAGCTCTTGGGCTCTTACAACTTTCAACTCCTTCCAAAAACCCACCTGCTTTTGTTCACTCAGAAAGGGTTTGGACCAGATGTGGTGGTACACATCTGTAATCCCAGCACTGGGGAGGCTGAGGCAGGAGGATAGCTGTAAATTCTAGGCCAGTCTGGGCTGCAAAGTCAGTTCAAATTCGGCCTGAAATACGTAGTGAGACTGTGCCTTAAACAAATACAATAAAAAGGGTTTGGAGGGCAACCCACTCGGGACCCCTCCTATCTCTCAGGAGATTTTTATCCTCAATAAATTTCCCTACTCTTAACCTCCATTGTTGCTTAGAGTTCATCCTGAAAAGAATAAAACTCAAGAAGCTGAACCCCGTCACTGGCAGCCCACACCCGCCCTGGCGCTTATCACAGGCTGAGACCACAGGCCTCCTTCTGAGTGGGATGCGGCCAGGAGCTGAATTTTGCTGGGAATATTGTTTCTTGGAGTCCTGGGTGACTATTATACTCTGCTGGGACAATCACACTGGAATTGCATGGAGGCAGAGAAGGGCCTGGACAAAGCCACTTTCCAGCCACTTCTCCAAGGTTCAAGGCCAGGGAGCAAAGCCAGGTGAACACCAGAGTGGCCCTAGTAGACCTGATAGGAGCTGGTGACTTGCCTTGGCTAACTTCCTGACCTGTACAATCGTGAGAAATAAAGAAATTCGTTGGGGTTGGTGGTGCCCGCCTATAATCCCAACACTTGGGAGGCTGGGGCAGGAGGATTGCCATCAGTTCAAGGCCAGCCTGGGCTACATAGTGAGACTCTGTTTCACAAAAACAAACAAAAACCAAAAAACCATAAAACAAACAAAACAATCCATGTGGAAATGCAGTGTTTCTCTTGGCCTTTTGTTTTCACTGGTACACATGTCACACGACAGTGGTCTATGACTTGGTGTTTTAGAAACTACAACTGCAGATTTGTATGAAATAATAAAATGATTTTGATCTACAAAAAAGAGCATCCTCCAAGTAGTTGTATGTCTAGAATTTATATTCTATATTTATTTTCTGCAGGAGTTTTTCTGTTAGATGGTTACCAAAAACAGATTTTTTCTTTTTTCCTCTTCGGTCTTTCCTCTTTCTTTCTTTCATTTGTTTATTTATTTATTGTTTTTTGTTTTTTTTCCGGTACCAGGAATTGAACTCACAACCTCACACTTGGCAGGCAGGCGCTGTGCCCCTGAGCTAAATCCCCAGCCCCTCTTTCTTTTATTTTTTTGGTGCTGGGGATTGGACCCAGGGCCTCCTATAAACTAGACAAGTGCTCCCTCACTAAGCTACAACCCAGATTTTAATTTTTTTTTTTTTGTCTTTTTGAGATAGGGTCTCACTACATAGTTCAGGCTGGCCTTGAGCTCATTTTGTAGCCCAGGCTGGTCTCGAACTCCACGATCCTCCTGCCTCAGCTTCCTGAGCACTGGGATTAAAGGCGTGCACCACCACACCTGGCTCTTTTTTTCTAATAGAACCAAGCCTGTCATTTTTGAGGACTGAAAGTGGGGAATCCACCCCCACCACCTAGGTAGATCCTAAGAGGAAGAGACCCAGGGACAGTCCTAGCTAACTAAGGCCACATCTTGTCTGAAAAGCCCAACAGACTCCTAGAAAGGAAACATTAAAGCCATCTGTACAGCCTTCCCCCTCAGAATCAAGGTTCTAAGTAGTCCCAGAACATAGGAGGATGAGAGGTCGGGAGGACCAGGCAATGAGGCCCTCAGCCGCACCTTCATGGGCATTGTGCATTACAGGTGCATGCCTGTAATCTCAGTACTTGGCCCACTGAGGCAGGAAGCAAGTTTGAGGCCAGCCCGGGCTACACAGTGAATTCAAA